TTTTATAAATCATTTTCCAAGCTAGGGTCTCGTGACACCACGGCTAAACTCTACTTCAACAAGCGGAATTTCTTTTCAAGAGCAATGGGATGTCCCTACAACTCCAGGTATTCCGAGGGGAAAAAAGGCATCGCTGTGAAACCAGGCGCTCGTCAAATTATAAACTCCAAAATACCGACATTTTTCCTGCAAGTTTGGCAGTTATTTATCGATTTTCTTTTTTCTTTTTTTTTTGTATTCAGTCAAAACCTTTTTTGTTCATTTAAAAAAAAGATTTTTGTTTGAATTCTAGAAAAAATGTTGATAAAAGGAAAAAAAAGTATTTTTGTTTTGTTTAAAAGACTCTCAATTAATGGAAGGCACTACAGTTTGACGGCCATTTTCTCGTAACATAAGCATCTGAAACAAGGCGACCCCGCAATCTTAAGTAAGATCTATACAAAAGAACCTTTGGTATCTTTTCGATCTGAATAACACTACAACATCTTTGAACCCCAACCTAGTAATTGCATGGTTAAAGATACCGTATTGCATAAATACACGTACACAGTGCTTGCGTAGCTACAAATGTGGAGTTCATAGGATGAGTAAAGTGTTTGATACAAGCGAAGAAGAAGAAGAAGAAGAAGAAGAAGAAGAAGAAGAAGAAGAAGAAGAAGAAAAAGAAGAAGACGAAGAAGAAGAATTGGAAAAGTGAGGACTAATGTAAGGACATTTTAGTGAAAAGAAACTGCTGTTATGAAAACAGAGTGTGTCACTGTGCAAATCGGAAAAGTGTATTTGTAAATGACGAATTTGTATACATACGAACATAAACCCACATACACACACACATGACGCACCCACGCTCCCACACACACACACACACACACACACACACACACACACACACACACACACACATATCCTGCAACGCAAACCAGGTGACATTGGGTGTTCTGTGTTTACCTCTGGGGCGCGTGAGCAAACTGGGACCAGCCTCCGAGGAAGGCAGTCCTCCAAACGAAGACCATTCTTCAACACGTTGTGACCTTTACTCAGTTTCACCAGAGCACCAAGAGGGTGTGGTAAGACGACAATCGTTGTGTAAATCACAGGAGAGTTTGACGTGGGCACGCCAAAGAAAGGTAAAGCAAACGGGCTCCGCTTTTTCGGAGTGGCCCTCTTATGGGACTGCGAAGGTGTTTTTTTTCTGCTGTAGCTTAAATTAAGCCTAATAAATTCTTCTGCAGGGAAAGTTGAAAGGAGTTTTTTTTATAATGAGGAGTGCACATGAGGAGAATTCATTTGCTGAACCCATCGGGACACCTTTGGGGGCTTTCCGGTTACGGCTAGCTATGAGCAATGAGTGTTGAATACCTAGACTGACGAAAGTATAAAACTAAATTCTAAATCTACGAATCTCGGCATCACAGCTTCAAGTAAGTTCTAATTGGATGCAAAATATCGTCTGAATATAAATTTTCTCCGTCCCTTCCTAAAACTAAATCCTTTCCGCAGAATGCTCTACCTTCTACATGACTCATCACTTCTTTAAAGAGGGCACTATACTGCAACTAGTATTAGAAGAACATCAGAAAATACGCAAAAGGTTAAACCATCTTCCAAAAGTTTACCCCTAAAAATTTGTTGCGTTCATTTTCATAGTTAGTTCAAAGACTCATATTTTTTGTTGGCTTGGTTTTGACTCCAATTTCGGTATTGCTGCTAGATAAGCATTATTTGCAAATCTATGCGGACGTATGACAACAACTGGCACGTGTTAGAAGAACTCAGATTCAACTTGCATTGTATAAACTCCTCTATTCTGTGTACGGCATCCATTGTTCATAACATTGTTTTGCTCTCAATTCCTATTGCTTTCTAGGTTTGCCATGACAGCTTTTGCCAAAGAAGTTAAGATTATAAGGCACTAATTATTTAGCTATGTTCTATTTTAGGGATCATACATATAATCTAACATCATTTAAATACCTTATATTACATGACACCATGGCTACCCCATTGTTTTCTCCACAGAGAATGGAGGCCTCCTGATGTCTGTCAAAGGTCAAGTATATTCTGAAAGAATACCTAAAGAAACTATTGCGATACAGTGCCTCACACACAAAAACCTTTCGAAACAGCTATGTGGGGGTCTATGGAACCAAATGCTTATTGAATGTTAACAAGCCGAAGACAAAACTGGCAAAAAAAGGTGTCTTTCCGATTCGTAGGCATACTCAGAAAACGACCAATAAAGCAATTCGAGCAATATTTACAAACTTTCATATATGTAAAGTTATCATCTAATTCAAAAGTTCCGTTTGAAATGTATTACCAGCATAGACACTTAAACAATGGCCAAAAGTGGTCCTGATTTCAGTAGTACAAACGATATATCTGTATTCTTTTGCCTACAAAATGTTGCAATATAGAAGTAAGATTTAAGGGGGGGGGAGGGGGGGCGGGGGTTCCCACCTATTTTTGGTCAATCTGCTTCAAATTGGGTATTACAATATTTTTTGCCTTTTCTCAGTCATTTCTCTGTTGATTTGATTGTTCTTCGGCACAATTGTAGCTAGTTGGATGCCCAACATTTTTTCTTCTTACATTGTTATTCTATCTTCACTAATTAGACAGGTATCTCTTTTTTTGTCAAAAATATTTGATTTTTTTTATTTTTGACACACTTTTCGATACTCCTCTGAAGATTACAGGTGTATCTTGATGGCACTTGGCATACTTGTTACCCTTAGGGGTGGTTACATTGTATTGTCAGCGTTTTTTATATCTATCTTGCTTTTCATTTTATGATTTTAAAAATTTGGAAAATTGACCGTTTTCTGCATTTTTGACAAGATTTGCACGCTTCTTCCTGTAACTCCGAAACGAAATAAGATATCGAAAGATACTGACTATGTTTAACTTGGGTACATGTGGTGCCAAAGGACAATAAAATCCATCCGCAAATTTCAGAGGAGTATTGATTTGAAAATATGATGTGAAAATCCAATATGGCCGCCATGATAATGGCAGCCATCTTGGATCCGGGAATTTTTGTTCCATCGTAATACCTGTATCATGACGAAGTTGTATGCCAAATTTAAGGTTTCTAGGTCCAGAAATAAAGAAGTTAGCTCGCTTGTGTGACCCCCCCCCCCCTCTTTTAAAGATTATGAGGTCGAGATGTAATTTGAAATATGATAAGTGCAAATATAAGCCTATAACACTAAAGAGTTTTGCCTTCTTTTGAAATCCTAAAATCTTTCCATAAGATCTGCACGCATTCCAAACAGGCTCCATATTACTTCTGCCTTTAAAGCACCCCCCCCCCCCCCCAAACCCTCCTTCCGCCCCAATGAGTCCCGATGTCTCTGATGTAACAGGCACATGGCTGTCGCTTCCTGGAGACCCAGGTTCGATTTCCAAGTCGGAGGAACATTTCATTAAGTATTTTAATCTTTCAACCCAGCTTGATCCTGACAGGCAAGGTCAGAGTCCACCCCTTGATGATCTAAATTGTGTCTAAGGAGACCAAAAACAAAAACAAAACAAAAACAATTTCCCCCTTCCCTTCTTTACTCTTGCAACAGGCTGTGAGCCCCACCGAATTGGTGGACAAGCGGACTAACTCAGATTTTGAGGGTTTCCAGAAATCTTGACCTACACCAAGATTGGGCATTGCCCAGCCTATAGGAAAAGTTTGGTTTCACTGGTGTGTATATTTGTCAGGTTAAAGAGAAAACTATCAAAAGCCGTTCAATTAAAATGAATAAAGATCCAAAATCTTCACCTTCGATTTTCTCAAAACAGCAGTTTTTGGGATAGTCCCTTTGTGCTTAAAAGCTACCAATTAACCTTACCTGTTTACACTTCACATTTGAGAACTCTTTCGCACACAAAGCTACTGCTGAAAAATAAACTCTACATAAATAGCTCAAGACTCAGGACGCAAACAAAGCAGGATTGTTCACCTGTCCTGGACGCTGCACATTTAAGATTGAACGTTCAGGGAAGCTTCTTCTTTCACACATTACTTTATACTTGTGCACGGGCTTTTGCATTGCTTTCAAGATACAACAATACAGGACTGAAAGGGAAAGGAGAATGTGGCGTGTTCACATAAAGGGCATTTGGGACAAGGTGAGTGCAGGGGTCGAATTGCTCCTCAGAATGCTTTTTCAAGTCAGTTCAGCCATTGCAAGGGGGAGGACATGCTTAGCGGCCATTGTCAAACAGCCGTAATGACCCTGCAAAAAAAGACTCGTGTCTTTCTTCACCTGAGTAAACTGGACAAAACATGAACAAGTCACACTTTTTTTGGCGAGCTTATAACCTGTTACGATAGCAGTTTGTTCTCGCAAGCATACACATTTTTGACTGTTTTCACAGACGTACAGAGTTGTGGAAAATAATATAATTATTTAGGTACGTGCATCAGTTGATTACGGATTAGGGTTCTTTTATGGTTGCCTTTCATTCTTACAGATGTCTTTCAGCCACACCCGTGATCTTGTGAAAATATGTAAAATCGGACGCCTAGACTTTTCGTATGAGGGCAAACAATCTTGGAGGTCCCATGTGCACGTTGCGCACGTCTAGGATTCCCTGGTGGTCTTGTAATTGATAAGAGTAATCAGATGCCACCACTCTGACAAAATTCAAAATCAATTTTTACTATAACTGAAAATACTATAGTCAGAATAAAAAACTTTCAGAGTACCTTCCAAATCAGAATGTGGATGGCTGAAGGCAAGGGACTGTACAAAGAAGGAGAATTGGTCACAAATGTAAAAATTAACTGCACTGCAGATTGAAGAACCAGCAATTGACTACCTTTTATGTACTGCAGGGGTATCAAAGAAGAAGATGAAGATTACAGAATGGTATTTTTTCAGCGTCTCATCTTATAAGTAGGGGATAAGTCAGATACTTGTTCTTTTAAAACGTTTTCTAAATTAACAAAACCAACAATTCCTAGGTTTAACGAATCTGAACAAAAGCAACTTCCAACAAGAGTCTTTTGTCTTTGTTTATTGCTAAATATGACAATGGCAAACATACATGAACATCTGGTGCAAAATTGTTAAAAATCGGATATAACCGAATTGAACATCATGACGTCATCAATGATTTGCGACGTCGTTAATCAAAAAATGGGTCTGTCTTGACAGTCAACATTGGCTCTCCAGTCACACTTCCTTTTCTCTGCGTTGAATGCGCTGCTGTTTGGGCACTTGATCCTGGCGACGACACGACCATAGTTGCACTTGTAGAACCGGGCACAATTTGTTGGGTCGCTCACATCAGCGTTTGAAAAACCAGCACATGGTTTGTCCACAATGGGGCTGGCAGTCGCTATAGAAAGGAATAAATCCGACAACGTATTTGAAAAGTCAAATCAGTGGAATGCAAAGGATATTAAAGAAAACAAGTCTATAATAATACGCTTCCATCCTACCCATCGCTCCTTCCAACCAAACATTCTTCCATTCGTTCGTTCAGGTATTTTCTAATTCCTGGTTGTTGCTTCTTCAGTAGGAGTTAGGCCTTCATAAACGCTTTCGAAAGAACACCGGTGGATGATACAAAAGAGAAAACTGTACATCACTCCTTAAAATCAACTCGATAACCTTCAGTCTTGCCTAATAAGAACACAACCCACTTACCATTTTACCATTCATCTCTGAAGAAGCTTTATTACTCCCTTTTCCCAGAAAAAAATAGAACACATTCTCATGCAGATGAAATCAGCGCATATGACCAGCCAAACTTTAATTAAATTGAGTCTAGTTTCTTTACAAAGGAACGTTGTTTTTCCAAAAAAGTGTAACGTTCTACTTGAATTGTGCCCTGCCAGTTGTTGTAGCAGCATGATAGCCCAGTCTGGTATATATCTATACATTGTCATTTTTTTCTACCTTGGGTTTCAAAACCATTATTTGTTTCTAACTCCACAATCCAGACCGATACAAATCTGTGCTCTCTCACATGGTGAACATAACGTAACAAGAATGTGCCCTCCCATCATAAAAATAGCCAAACTTTAATTAAATTGAGTCTAGTTTCTTTATAAAGGAACGTTTTGTATCCTGAGAAGTAAAATCTGATCTATACTGAACCAAAGTAGACTGTCGCGCAAACTATTCAATGTTTGAAAAGAAGAATGTATGTAGCCCAACACAAACAATGAATATGTCATCTTTTTTCTTGTTCAAAACAAAATGTGTACCTTTATTGTTTCTATTCTGGCTTAGCTCTTTTCTGATTTTGTAAGACAATTTAATTTCGGAGAAGGTTTAACACTTAAGGTTCGTTGTCCTATTCCCTATTTTAATACAGCAAGTTAAGTTAAAAAGTGCAAACGTTAGCATTTGCATCATGAAAAAGGCAGGTCTTAAAGCTGCAAGCTTGTTGTGCTCATCAACATGTTCAGAAGAGAATGAAGATTTAATATGAGGATACTATTGATGTAACTGCCTTAAAATACAGCAAGCAGATATTTCTGATTAATGAGGGAAAAAAAATAGAGCAGTAATGCAGCGTCGAGCCAGTAGATGTGCCGACTTCAAAGAGGTAAGAGAAGAACCTTGAAGGTTCCACTTACTGACGACCACGTGACCAGGGATGCTCCTTTCCCGACACTCCGAGGCCACGAGAAAGCTCAGCTCGCAGGTGCTGTTGCGAGTGCTAAAGAGCGTGTTTGTGGGGCAGTCCATTGTGGCCACCACTGTCATGTTAACACAGGCCAGGAACTGGGCACAATTGCTGGGGTCGGGGTTCATGCCGTTGGGGTCGGGTGCGCAGCGAGGATCATCTGATAAATGAAACAAAGAATGTCTTAAATTATTTTTCAGTGAGTTAATGGTTTCAATTCTAAGCAACTGGACTATTGTTACAAGTCAAACGAGTGCATGGGCTGATAACAGAACACATTAAAAAATATTACGTGAAAAGAGAGATACAAAAGTATTCAAACGAACTCCTTAAACGGAACGAAAAGAATTTTGGGAAATAAATGGAAAATTGATTCATTTCCTAATTCATTATTATCTGTGACTCCGAAATTAGCACACTTTGCTGTAGGTTTATTTTATCAGAGCAGTGTGTCTCTGTTTTCTTTTCCTTCATCACCACACTGTGCAGTTGTCTTAAGTTCATCCATATGAACATCACAGACGGCGGAGGATCAAACTTCGAGACAAAGACACGCAAAACACCCTGGTTCTATTCAATGAATAATAATGATCAATGTGACTGTAGTTTAAAAAAAATAAAAGTCATAATTATCTTATGTACTAAAATATGATACATTCTAAGAGATGCAACAAACGTTAGATGCCATTGTGGAAAAATCAAGTCATCAACAGTCAAGATCGAAATTTGGGTAAAAATCCGTAAAGTCAATGCACCTGTCACCTTCGTAAAAATACTTTCTTAACTATATCCGTACTCTCTGGGGTCATTTTGTACCCCGGGTTGTATTCTTCGCATTTTAGAATACTTCTAGTACGAAGATCTCTTTGAAAACGAGGAAATTTCTAATTTTGAAAATGGTGGCACAGAGTTCCCCACGTCGTATGGATACGATAGGAAAACACGACGTACGGATAGGGTTAAGGATCGGGTGTGTGTGTGTGTAAGTGTGTGTGTGTGTGTGTGTGTGTGTGTGTGTGTGTGTGTGTGTGCGTGTGTTGTGACAGTGGGTGTTCCAGGGAGGGAGCAATAGGGGATAAAGTTAGAACATTTAATCAAAAGCAAATGCCTTTATGTCCAGCACACATTCATATATGATGAAGGCAGTTGTGCAATTTAGAAAAATAAAGATAATATGGAGGGAACCAGCTTCAGGATTGGGTACTGTTTAAAGGTTTTCTGTTTTCCGAGCAAACGTCTTTTCAAGATGTGACGGCTACGGTGGTCCGGTTCTGTTTTATTGAAGGAAGGGGGGGGGGTGCATCAAATAAATCCGTAGAACGAAGACACTTGTGGTATTTAACCAGCTTCGATGTGGGGGCAAACCTGCATAATATCTTACCATATCGTTGACATATTTTATTAAAGGATCCTTCCTCGTGTTCAAACATACTTTATTGCAAGTTTGGAATAAAAAGTACTTGTTTTTAGGCGTGGCCTTCCTAAAGAGGAGAGAAAACAAAATGTTTGCTGAGAGTCCATGAACCCTGTTATGACGCCATTGATGACGTGGATTATGACGTTTCAATTTATATTAAAAGCTTGTCACGAGGCCTACCCTTTCCTTATTCAGACTATAATTGCAACCTGTTTACCCAAAGGGAGGCAAGGAGGAGAAGAGATTCTGATCACTTCTGGTTATTTAAACGCAACTTGTATATTCTTCTATTTCCGATTTCTTGTCATTGTACAACAATGTTGACTATCCAGCTGAAGAGCCATCTGCTAAGAGATTGTTTGTACAAGGGTTGGCAGTTTGAGACACTGGGGAGGAGCTAAGATGAAAAGGATCAATACCCTTGTTTTTTTCCAATTAAAAGATATGTGGTTAACCCTGAGTTTGATTAAAACAGTGAGATTCCTCTTTCTCCCCCCCCTCTCTCTCTCTCTCTCTCTCTCTCTCTCTCTCTCTCTCTCTCTCTCTCTCTCTCTCTCTCTCTGCCTCCTCCCTCTCTCTGTCTGTCTACGCGGGCAAGTTTGAGACAATAGGAATCCAGTGAAAATCAAAGACAAACAGAAAGCCGACACTCTTGATCCCCACTAATATTGTATATCACAATTGAAAAGTTAACTTACTGAGGGCTGGCGTTGTCATGACCTGGTTGCAGTCGTCCCACTGAGACATGGGCTCTACGCATGCGTGGCCAACATTGGACCACACACGGGTGTCGTTACAGTTGATGGTCCAGTATTTCTTTCCTTGGACACAGAAGTGCACCTGGGTGTTATATGGAATAATGGGAGGCAATGATAATACCACAAAAATATGTATAACTATTGTTCAAAAGAGGGCTAAACTGATCCTTTCAGAGGCGTATTTGCGAGGGGACTTCGAAACGAAGATTTGTGAGTCTAATATAAAAAACAGAGATTGAACGGAGGTTGAACTAAAGTTACCAGTGAGTGGCGTTTACTGTTTACACATGCTAAGAAAAAAAAATCTCAAAATACTGCTTCTCAAACTATAACAGCATACTAAAAAAATAATTGTAACTACGTTTCCTTTAGATAAAAAAAACCAACAGATTGTCATACCCAGTGATCGCCTTTTCATAAAACACGCACCCGTATTTTATCCATGTTTTTATAGCAATTAGTTGTTGAAATATCTACACCTAGTAGAGCATGCCAACAGCTGTTAAATGTCCCTTTGACTGCTACTACGACTTATAGTACCAGATACAGTAAGCTATCCTGGTAAGTGAGTTTGCTTTTTCCCACAAATACACACCAGTTATCATTATGCAAAGAGGCAAAGTAGAATGAGACGGAAAAATAATGAGAAACCCTGTACGTGGTCAGAATGGACGAGCACGGAGCTGAGAGACGTACTTAGAGATGCAGTGGAAACGGAAATATCGAGGGAGCGCGTTGTCTAGTCAGCTATGCCTGTCTCCCTGCTGATGACAGCATTGTAAGTGAGACACATACCAACCCATTCTTTACAGCGTACATAGCGGGCAGCCTTTCCATACACACTAAAAAATCAGTCCTTTTTCTTAAAGTGTAGAGGTTAATTAATGTTGTACATAACATTCTCACTCTGACTCCATTTTTTTCTTTTTTACAAGAAAAGAATGTTGCTTATTTCAGTGATGGGTCAACTGACGTTGATTCGAAATGTCATCCCAAATGTCTGAAGGTAACGAAAGAGTGCACCTGAGAGATTCCAAGGGGAAAGAAAGAAAAGCATCGAGGACTTGGCCCGTATGAAATTTTGGCACTCTTAATGGGAAGGGGAGGGGGGGGGGGGTGGATTTTATGGGCTCTTTGAGAAAACAAAATGTGCTCTCTTTATAGGATGTGTCTACTTGACAGTATTTGTAGGTAAGTATTATGCAAATGCAAAATAAACAAAGTCCAAACACATCGTGTTTGTTTGCGTCAAGGACCCACCTTTAATTCGCTAATCAATGTGAGTTAAAGTCTTTGTTCTGGTCTTATATTACTTTCTATTCCCGTGATTTGCTCACTTGTACGTAAATGAGTCCGGGTTTTTCAGTAAAAGGTGTCTAGTAATAAAGTATAGCTCCAACAGTTATTTTTAAATTAAGTAAGCCCTACAACGATATCATGATCTGATGAGAATAAATTACCACTGTACTGATTGCAGCATGATTATATCAAGATTGTGATTTGGATCTGGCAGTAGACGCGATTTACATAGGGACTATTACGATTTCCACCCGGATGTAGATATTAGACTTTCTGGAATAAAAAAACATGTCATTGACTCCTTAGTCACGTTTTCCAGCTTCTCATCATTGAGAAATAATAACAAAGGATCTCAGCCTTTTTAATGGTTAGTATGGTATCTCTATTTGGAAGGTGTTGAGTTCGGTTCTGCGATATTTTTCTTTGTCACGTTTTGTGCCACGAAGGCAGCCGTGACTCTTGTCTCACATTCAACTTCAGCAAACATCTGTACACACTCTGTATCCTGTTTGACGAATATGCATCTAGGTATTAAGTTACTTAGACAAAGTTACGCCATCATGTTTGATCTAGAGGCGAACAGGTATATTAGAAACATTGCACAACGTGTGTTTTAGGCAAATAAGAAAATGCAAATTTGTATGGATCTAAGTCAAATATTAAAACCTAAAGAGAAGAAGAGAAAGACAAAGAGACAGACAGACAGACAGACGGACAGACAGACAGACAGACAGACAAACATACAGTTGATCTTTACAATTATAAGCATGAGGCTACTGCAAACATTTGTATGTGATTTTGTTTTATGGATGTAGAGTCCCAAGAAATCCTGCTTTGTACGAAAACGAGATGGTTTACTTTAACATTTATTCTTCTTAGAAATTAAATTCATCTTTTTATCTTTGAAACCCTGTTCTTTAACATAACCCTTCGCTTCTTTGCGCCCCCCCCCCCCCCCCCACCCCCCCTCTCTCTCTCTCTCTCTCTCTCTCTCTCTCTCTCTCTCTCTCTCTCTCTCTCTCTCTCTCTCTCGCTTCTTTGCGCCCCACCCCACCCCCCCACCCCCCTCTCCGCTTCTCCAAATCAGGGTCAAAATTTTGCTTGTGGGCCCTTCGTTGAGGAGTATTCACCAAGCTGTGATAAATCATTTCAGCTTTGCCAGTATCATACCAAGATGTACAAATAGATTCTAGATTAAGCCGAGTGAATTGAAATATGACGAGCTCTTTGCACACATGCACCGATGCAAGGAAAAAGGTATGACAAGAAAGAGGCAGCAAGTAAGATTTTCTGCAACATGGCTATGCATGCTTCCAACAAGGTTAGCTATCTCCAGTTTGCTTTAATTTCACAGTAACTGTCTGTACCACTGTCGTGACGTACCTGTGTGCAGTCGTTAGGATCACGGGTCCATTCTGTCGTCCAAGGATCCCTGCATCCAGGATCGGCCCCGAAGGTATCATCAGTGTTGTAATTTTGGGCTGGTCTATTTTGTCTTGGTGGGTTTGACTCCTGATACGAAAACTGACCCTGTTGCTGACCCTGTTGGTTTCTTCCGTAGTTATTGCCGTAGTTTCTTTGGGCCACCACCATACTGAGACAGGCCAAGAGAACAGCAACATACACAAAGAGATGCATTTTGTTTTTTAAACTTTTAAATTAATTTGTTGTTACTGCGATACTGAAAAGTTTCGATTTCTACTGAGGACCGTAGCGTTTAGTTATTGTCTTTTTAAACTGAAAGCCTGGCCACGATTTTTTAAAGACTACCCAACCAAGTTCTGTAAATGATATGACTTCTGTTCTCAGTATGGCGTTCTAGCCTATCATGCTGCATTTAAGTACAAGCAGCCCCTTCCTGAATCCCTCAAACCACAAAAAAGACAGACGCGTGCTACCACGAAGCTATATAAAGCCTACAAAACGACCGCTGTTGTTGACTTGGACCTGCTTATGTTTATTTGTTTACCCAACTGTAGTTGGCGTGTGTTCAAACCAGAGCTGAGAGCTAAGAAAGTTCGAGACGTCAAGAGACTTCTTCCATGACACTCCTCGGTTACTTTGCTTTGTCTACAAGTCCCCCAGTGACTGTGCGTGCTTTTTGAACGAAAAGAACTTCCCAGTGATGTTTATTCCCAGGTCTGGCCCACGCAGCTGTCCGTTATTGCAAACATGTACGTTTAAAATCACTAGTTTTCCTTGCCCAGATGCAGGCATCATTCCGATATGCAGAGGTAGTGGTATAATAACATACAGGACTACTGACAGTATGTTATATATATAAGAGAGAGAGAGAGAGATAGAGAGAGAGAGAGAGAGAGAGAGAGAGAGAGAGAGAGAGAGAGAGAGAGAAAGAGAGAAAAGGTTAGGGGGGATAGAGAGGGGGATTAGAGAGAAGGAGAAAAAGGAGGAAGTGTGGGAATGCAGTAAAGAGATAAACTTTCTGAAAATTTAAGAGTACACATAAGACAATAATGAGAAATAGCAGAACGGTTCAAATTACAAGAGCAAAAAACCTGTCTTTCCTATCATCCAACCATCCCAGACACAGTAGAGGTTAATGAGTTAGCTCTTTTATTAACCAGTGTTAAGATACTTGGACGAGTCTTTCATGACACCACACAAACACACTTTGAAATACTGAAGTAAATGAAGAAAGACAGATACTCAAACGCCCTACTTGAAAGGAATGACAATTTCATCTGGTGCTTATAGTTTGTATTTCAGACACAGTTTGAAGGAGATGGGCACGTATGGCATGGGTTTAACTGATCTTCCAACATTGTAAGATGTGCTACTTTGAAACATATCGTGCATCTCTAATAGCACCAAGGTAGGACTTTTGAAAACTCCCTTAACAACTCAATTTCATGAAAGCATAATAGATAGCCTGTGCGTATTTACGAACCAGAATTCTCTGAATCACCGTCCGGCAGTACACAAATGGGACTGGCATCTTACCTTGGATATAGTACACTGCGGAGAATAATGGAGCTGTTTAAAACAGAATACCGTAATAGGCTGTACACTAGGCGGTCATAAAACAGTCCACATGCGCGCGACTGACCTAGATTCGGTGGTCAGTTTGAATTGCTGTTTGCATGCTTTGACATTGGATTATTTCTGCCTAATGCAGTTTGCTTTTCAAGTAATCTGGATTAAATGAATACCTTCTCTACCACTGTGTGCGTTGAGGAACATAAGTGATGACTAATTAATTAATTAAGATTGACCAACAGTTTTAGATGGTAAATTTGAAGTGCTGTTTGGCTGCACTGTAGGCGTACTGTTCATTATCAGTCATTTTTCATCGCCATCGTACTGAATGCCTGGATTCTTTCGGTTGAGGCCTAATGCAGTTGGGTTTTTTTCAAATCATCTGGACTGTGTGAAAATCAAATATCTCTTCCATCAGTGGACAGTGTTGCCTTCGATCTGACAGAGAAAGGTGAGGCAGCCATCACAACTTCTTTGAATTGGGCACAGCTTGCTATAACAATGAAACCATCAGAAAGAGTAAGAATGCACTGCCTCACAAAAGACACATCAGAAGCTCTTTCTTGGACATGCAGATGCCTTGCTGCCATGACAAATATCCACTGTAAACGTACGAACCATACATACACCAGTATGTCTGTCTAGGCTTCTCTTCCAACAGGATGACTTAGAGGGGCATTTTGGACATTTCCAACTATCTGTGGACTGGACTTATTTTTTGACAGTCCAGGAAGTGATGTACACACATACAATTGAATTCATTGATAAAGCAAGGATTTGCTGAAGACAGAGGTTGCACTGGACTATAGCATCAATCATCTTGATTGTGACTTGTGCGAGAAGGACCTCTCAGACAGTGACCTGCTACTCATTGACGACATGGTAGAGGGAAAAATCTCTGTGACTGCAGATGAAAAGCTGTCAATTTTTCACATTTCTGGCTATATTGCTTTCAAACGCAGTGAGCTTTCCGGCAACCCCCCAGGCAGTACACCAAATGTCAAAGCATATCTTGAGGAAAGCAACAGTGGTGGTTTGACCTATCAATCGGACAAACTGTTCACACTCACTACTCTGTCATTATCTGTCAATTTGTCTCTTTCTGATTACTAGAAACCCTGTTGCTTTAATCTGCCTGTCTGTCTGTCTATCCATCCGTCTATTTCTGTATGTGTCTTGGGATGTGATGATGCCCATGTTTGTCTGTCGGCCTGGGTGGTTGGCGGGCGCTCTGATATGGTTTGCTCCTTCTTTCTGACTCTGCTGTCGTTGTTTTGTACTCCTTTCTTCACTCTATTGTGAATCAATTTCCTCCTGGCGCTGAAATGACCTCGTTGTTTAAAAAGTACAGTAAAACTCTAACTCAGCTCAAGACAACTCTGTCTTTCCATCGGTTTTGTTCTGTCTAGAATAATTTTTTACATATCCGTTTTATTGAACACAAACACATGAAGCTAAACCATTGAGAGAGAGAGAAAAAGAGAGAGAAAGAGAGAGAGAGAGAGAGAGAGAGAGAGAGAGAGAGAGAGAGAGAGAGAGAGAGAGAGAGGCCGCCTAGTTGTGGCCGTCGTAATCATTATTTTATCATTACGAAGGTCACTGCCTGCTTCGGGCCGAAGCCTGAGCTGCGGGTGTGCCAGTTCACAAGCAACGTGTGTAGGTCTTGGACTGCGCTGCCTGTTTTATGACCGCCTAGGCTCTACACCATACGTTACTTCAAGAATAAAAAACCGAAATAGAAAAATGTATTAATGAGTTACTTCACTTCCCAGTCTACCAGATAACGGTTTTTCAGGGTGATTGTTTAAATTCAAAATTTACAATTGGAACATTATAAGTTTTACGCCCCCATCTACATTTTTGAGACCATTAACGAAACGGGCAGTTTTGACCCTGCCGTCAGGACCAGTTCAGACTGAAAGGGATTTAATGTCCCAGCAGAAAGACGGGTACTCAATAACACAGGCGAAAGTGTCAAGGGTACTTACAAAACAAAGAAATAGAATATGACTTAGATCACAGCACGAGGAGCTCATAAGATTAGGGTCGTAGTTACGGAAAACAAAGAGTGTCGTTAACGGTTAACAGATAAAAGTCGTTTCACATGTCCAGGTTGCCAGGTTGACTCCAGAGTACTATATTTCTGTAAAAGAAACAGAATCCTAGAAAGCTGATGCCCGTCCCTTGTCATGTGCTTCTCCCTCTTTATCTAAAGTCATATTACCAAACACGTGCTTTGAAGAGATAATGATAATATCGTCCAGCCAGACACTGTAAAGTATTTATCCTTTTAAAAGTTTTTTTTCTTTATACTTTAAGCAAACTTAAGACTAACTATCTGAAAACAGATAGTAATAAAATAGATGGCAATAGAAACCAATGCGATATTATCGTACATCAGAAATGCCCTAAGAAAGACATCATGTAGATCTCAGTTTAAACGTTGTTTTATTTCCTATCATAGTTTAAGTATCAGTCTGCTTAGGGGCAGAAAAACTAATCAGTCCAGGTTAAACCATCTCAGCACACAGTGGGTAGTGTTGAATAGGGAGGTTTAGCCAGAAAATTTACAGAGCTCTTGAATGTTCGGGACGGATTTTTGTTACTGTGTTTGAAATAGATTAAAATAATTCACCGCTTTCGAGCAGATGCGAATCGCTGGGCTTTGTCAATTAGAAAAGGATTAGGCTGTAATGTTAGGCGCGCTAAACGTTGTCTTTTTTTTAAATCCGTAAACGAGGTTAGAGAATGGAGATGGGGGGATTTGGGGCAGAGGGGTGAAGGAGACTGATTTCGTGAAAAGTCATCTGTAAAAATTCTAACATTCCCAGAAGAGTTGACATTGATTAACTGTAGTGGGTGGTACACGTATAAACCTGTCGAGAGAGAGGAGAATTAGGGAGAGAGAAAGAGAGGGAGAGAGAGGCCGGAGATAAAGAGAGGAGAGGAGAGGAAGGGGAAAATAGAGAGAGGAGAGGGTGGAATAGATAGATAGAGAGAGAGGGGGCGAGAAAGAGAGAGAAGGGGGTGAGAGAGAGAGAGAGAGAGAGAGAGAGAGAGGGAGAGAGAGAGAGAGAGGGAGAGAGAGAGAGAGAGAGAGAGAGAGAGAGAGAGAGAGAGAGAGAGAGAGAGAGAGGGGGGGAGGGGGGGGGTGAAAGGGAAATATTTTTCGAGCCACTGCTAAGTAGATTCGGAGGTTCTCCAGTACAGGTTGTTTCTTCAGAGCCACATATCTTCAACACTGTAGCGCTTTCAGACAACATACTGTGATAGCAGTTTTTGTATGTACTGAACCACTTTCGCCATTCTCCCAAGCCTCTATAGCTAACCCTGCGATGATTACTTGACGATGTTTACATTCATGGTTTCCATTTTCGAAAGCGCTGTTAATTGGTACATCTTGTTACATCCATGTCATTTGAACAACTGATTGCCCTGGAATGAACAGTTTTGACACCGTGATTATTTCACTACGTCAATCAATCTACTGACGGCATATTTTACTGTTTCATGTAGAACTTTTCTTACCACTGATAATGTCACTTTCCTTCTGCGTATTTAGTAATATATTCAAATACTGAAACAGGCATCTCTTCTTCTTGTTAGGAGCATTCCATTTCTAAAATCTAAAACAGTCGTCAAAGACGAGCGGTCAAGATAAAATTTGAAGAGTAGGCCAGCTAAATATTGTGTTAAAGTTTGACAATAGCTAGCTATAAGCTAATTTGAAACACATTTATTAAACACAGAGAAAACAATAAATGCCAAGCAATACTTGTGTTTTACGTGATTACAAAGTAGACACTTTTTCTGACATAGTATTTATATTTGGCTGAGTGTGGGGTGGGAATCTTTCTCCTTTCAAAAATGTTAATTTAAAAAGATAATTTAGTA